GAATTGGGTGTCATATACTAACATTGAATAATCATCATCAATGTTTTCTAAAAGGGTTTTTTTTCCATTGATGCACATAGGCTTATGTAACTCAAGATGACACCTTAATCACAACATTAACAGTCAAAGAAGCTGTGTACTACTCAGCTCAGCTTCAGTTGCCAGACTCAACGTCAAAGGCAGAAAAGAAAGAGAGAGCAGAGATGACAATAAGAGAAATGGGATTACAAGATGCCATGAATACAAGAATTGGAGGGTGGGGGTATAAAGGACTTAGTGGTGGTCAAAAGAGGAGAGTGAGCCTTTGTATAGAGATTCTAAAGGAACCGAAGCTTCTCTTTCTCGACGAGCCAACAAGTGGGCTTGATAGTGCAGCATCGTATTATGTCATGAGAGGAATTGCAAGGGTGGACCAGAGAGATAAAAATATGAGAACTGTCATTGCATCCATTCATCAGCCTAGCAGTGAAGTTTTTCAGCTTTTCGATAGTCTTTGTTTGCTCTGTGCTGGTAAAGTAGTGTATTTTGGCCCAGCTTCGGAAACAAATGAGGTATTCGTGCATCAAAATTTTATAGGCTTAATTGATCCAACATATATATGTAGATCATATAGAATTAACTATAGCTTGGTTAATCCTTCTCTCTTTTGTTTCAATATAGTTTTTTTCCTTGAATGGTTTTCCGTGTCCGACTCTCCAGAACCCATCTGATCATTTCCTGAAAACCATAAACAAAGATTTTGAAAGGGTATGTTGTTTTATTCAAGATCTGTCTTTTATAGTATCTTCCACATTAAACTTGTGTAGAGAATGGTGGATTAAAGATTCATCTTAAAATTTTCATAAAAATTCTGATTATGTCCTTCACAGGATATTGAACAAGGTTTAAAAGATGCAATTACTGCAGAGGTAGCGATTGATACTCTTACGAGGGCGTATAAATCATCAGACAATTACCAACAGGTTAAAAGACTAGTCACAGAAATATGTAACAAGGTAAGCCACTAACTACCTTCCAATTTTAGAAGATATCTTCATATTACAGTCAGGGAAAAGGATGATTAACAATCAAATTGATACAGAATTGTGGGACATTAAAAGAAAGAAGACATTCTAGCTTACTTACTCAGTGTCTTGTGCTGACAAGAAGATCTTCCGTGAACATGTATCGAGATCTTGGGTACTATTGGTTGCGTTTTGCAATCTATGTATCATTAGCGTTAGGCCTTGGCACTTTGTTTTACGACCTTGGATCTGGTTATAATTCAATTCAGGTATGGCATAACATATAACTCAAACCTTGATTTGATTACATTACAACAACTTCACAATAAACTTGAGAAATATCGTTATGCTAACAATTATACAGGCTAGAGGTTCTCTGCTTATGTTCATAGCTTCTTTCTTAACGTTCATGACCATCGGTGGATTCCCTTCTTTTGTTGAAGATATGAAGGTACGTAAATTATGCAGTGAGAATTTTTTTGTTCCGAATTGTATATAAACTCTAAACGTTTTCTCCTCTTTAATCCAGGTATTTGAAATAGAAAGATTAAATGGGCACTATGGTACCACTGCTTTTGTTATTGGCAACACATTCTCTGCGGTGCCATACTTGCTATTGATATCAGTAATTCCTGGAGCAATAGCTTATTACCTTCCTGGACTTCACAAAGGATATGAACACTTCATATACTTCGTCTTCGTATTGTTTGCTTGCATGATGTTGGTTGAGAGCTTAATGATGACTGTTGCAAGTATGGTGCCAAATTTTCTGATGGGAATAATAACTGGAGCTGGGATTCAAGGTTTAATGATTTTAGGTGGGGGATTCTTTCGATTGCCAGATGATCTTCCTCAGCCATTCTGGAAGTATCCCATGTACTACATTGCCTTCCATAAGTACGCCTACCAAGGAATGTTCAAGAACGAATTCGAAGGATTGACATTTCTTAGCAATCAAGCCGGAGGGCCACGGATGATTCACGGCGAACAAATTCTGAGAGATCAATGGCAAGTAGAAATGGGTTTATCCAAGTGGGTTGATCTTTCCATTTTGCTTGGAATGGTTGTTCTATACAGAATTTTGTTCTTGGTTATTATCAAGATTCAAGACCGTAGGGAAGGTTAAACCTATTATTACAGCTATTGTATCAGTACCTCCCAAGCAAACAACAAAAATCATGGAAATTCCCATGACTACACATTTGCATGGGGATCCATCTGTAGAATAAGTGGATGAAATTGGTTGTTTTAGTGAGCAATGAAAATAAATTTAGGGTTAGTTATAAAAAAAATAATAAATTTAGGGTTTTGCCTAATATATAGTTTTTGCATTTTTCGAATTATTTTGACTGAAACCTTGTACCTTTTTATATTTTGATTGAGTCCATTTACTTTTAATTTTGTTTTTTTTTCATCCTGTTTTTATAATGTTATTAGTTCATGAAATGATGTGGTATATTCACTTTAAATACGTGGTACATTCTATACGTAAAACCTCAATAGAGGAACTCAATCAATTTGAAAAGTACCAATTGATATAATTCAAAGACTAGTGGGAGTCATTTTGTTTCTTGGTCAGCTAGCTTCTGATCTAGAGATTGAAGCTTTTCTAAATTTCAATTTCAATAAAATTGCTATCTTTGAAAAAAAATCTACTAAGATATCACTTAATGCCAAAAAAAAAAAAAAAAGGCAAAAATTACCCTCTAGGAATAAAGAAAAAAAAGTTTTATATTTATTTCTAAAATAGAAAAAAATTCCAAATACGTATTAAGTAAAAATAATATGTATATTTTCGATCAATAAAATAAAGATATGAATTAGTTTGTAAAATTCTTTTCTTTTATTTTTTACTATACAATAAAATAAAGATTTTCCACATTACACAATTCTACATGGTATGGTATCAGAGCAAGGTTACAGGACCTGCTTTTTTTCCTTCTCTCATGGCACTTGGATCCCCAAGCAAGGTTAAGGAGGATTTGGTGCCCATTGCCAATATGCAGAATCTCGCAATTGACACCAAATCACCATTCTACTTCCATCTGTTAGATCACCCAAACTTGCTCTTTGTTACTTAAATTCTAAGTGAAAATAGAGAAAACTATTTCACTTGGAAAAAGAATTTTCTCAATGCACTCCAATCTAAAAACAAATCAAGATCCGATACTAAAACTTGACGTCAATTCCAGTGATTTCTAGGCTCAAATTTAATGCAACGTTGTGGTTAAATAATGGCTTATTATCTCGATTTCTAAAGAGTTGCAATCAAGGCTACTCACGCTACCATCGCCAGTGAGATTTAAAGTGATCTTGAGGGGAGATTCACCTAAAGAACTGCACCCAGGGTGTATGAATTCAAGAGATCGTTTGCTTTATTACAACAACCAAAAAAAAAAAAAAATCAGCCATCCCCATATATTATGGCAAATGGAAAAGTGTGTGGAGTTAGTTACAGAACCTTAATTAGGCTATTTCTCATTTGTACATGTGGGGCTGCCAGAAAAAAAGAGGCAATGCGTGAGGAAGACAAGGTCTTTGATTTTTTGATGGGTTTGGACGATGTCTATGGAACTGTCCGATCTCAATTATTGAGTCTTGAACCCCTACCTAGACTCGGAAAGGCTTACGCCGCTGGGGCACAAGACGAGAAACAAAGAAGTGTAGCTGCCCGAATCCCCACTCTTGAAGCCACAACCATACTGACCAAATCACCACCATCTTCAGGACTGAAGCAAGGATGACGTGGCGGCGCTCTCTATTGCAGCCACTGCAATAGAACCAATCATTCCATTGACACATGCTATGCTCTCCAAGACTTATTATAACACTAAAATAATGATAATGAGATGCTTCGAAACTATTACATAACGACCGTTATATAACGTAACGATATTATTTAAAACTAGCAGCATCATACTATGTCATGAGCAGAATTGTAAGGTTGGATCAACAAGATGGCGGCGAAGTAATAGGATATTTGAAAGAAGTCAATTACCAAGCCGGACGAGATCGTACGTGATATGCATGGGAGGACCGAACGTGATATGCATGGAATTAACTATAGATTGTGTTTGAGATCTTTAGGAGTTCTTGTTTGTAAAATAGGAGTCCTTTATGTATAGGAGTCCCCGTCTGGTATAGGAGTCTCTGCTATATATATGTACATACTTGGCGTTTATCATGGGGGTGCGGAACGGGGGAGAACGAGTATTGTTGTGCAAACCTTGTTCTTTCATGGTATCGAGCCTCCAAGTTCGATTGAGAACGAGTGGTAAGGGCATATAGAATGGTCGCTCGTGAAGAAGAGGCTCGTAAAGAAGAGGCTCGTGAAGAAGAGTCTCCTAAACGAGAAGACTTTAGGATGGTGAAGAAAACACCATCTCCATATGATCCGAACTCAAACGATAACCCGGGGAATCCGATTACCCAAGTACGGCTTCGAGGGGAGAACTACGAAGAATGGGCACGTGCCATGAGAATGTCTCGCGTGCTCGAAGAAAATGGGGTTTTCTAGATGGAACCATCGGAGCGCCGAAGGAAGACTCACCCGAGATGGAAGACCGGTGGACGATACGATCCATGTTAGTGTCTTGGATTCCGAATACCATTGAACTCGGCTTGCGTTCCACCATATCTTATGTGGAAAATGCAAAAGACCCGTGGGAGGACATCAAAGAATGGTTTTCAATCATCAACGGCCCGAGGATTCATCGACTAAAATCGAGTTGGCGGATTGCAAGCGAGGGGTCCGATGATGGTTGCTTATTACGGAAAATTGAAAGCTTTATGGGATGAGCTAGGAAACTATGAGCAAATACCAATCTGCGGGTATGGACGCCGCACATGTGATATCACATCTAGATTGGAACGGCGAAGAGAAGAGGAGAAAGTGCACCGGTTTCTTATGGGTCTCGACGATGTTATCTATGGGACGGTACGCTCCAACCTATTAGCAAGTGATCCACCGCCTTCTTGAACCGTGTTTACTCCGTCATGGTGCAGAAGAGCAAGTGAGAACCATTACGAGAGCCAAGGAGGAACGGGGTGAAATAGTAGGTCTTGCAAGTACAAGCCAAAAACCGAGGACGAGGGGTAGCCAAAGAGAAAACACAAATCTGTACCCATTGTAACGGAGCTGGACATGGCGCAGAAAATTGCTTCCGGTTGATTGGCTACCCGGATCGGGTGGGGAGATAGGGCGAAAAGTGAAGGAAAAATCGAGTGCAAAGGGAAAGCTGCACCCACGCATAGGTACGGGGAAAGGAAGAACGGGAAGTGTTCGCGCTAATACTGCACGAGTAGGCATAAATGGAGGAGTTTCCACATCCATAACCGATGCCGACAAAAGTGGGCTTGCAGGGCTAACCACGGATCAATGGCAACGACCGGTGGAGATGCTCGAATAAAACATATGTTAGTGAAAAGATGACAGGTAAATTCTCATGGATAATCGACACCGGAGCGTCGAACCACATGACAGGGAATTTAAAAGAATTAAGTGAGATACATAACATTGCACCATGTCCAGTCGGCCTACCGGATGGTGCACGAACATACACTCGCCAAAGAAGGGATAGTGTTTCTAGATGGGGGTTTAAAGCTTACAAATGTTCTTTATGTCCCCAATTTGAGCCGCAACTTGATATATGTGTCACGATTCGTTGGATGAATTAAAATGCATTGTGCAATTCATCGATAAACCGTGTGTTATGTAGGACCGCACTTCGAGGATGCTGATTGGTGCGGGTAAACGTGAAGATGGGCTCTATTATTTTTATGGCAAACGTGAGGAGAAGGTATGCAAAATGGAAGGAATAAATCAAGTGGAGTTATGGCACGAGCGTTTGGGACATCCATCTTTCAAGACCACCCAATCAATTCCCGATATTAGTGAGAATAAGTGTAAGGATTTATCAAACAAAAGCTGTGATATCTGTTTCGGAGAGAAACAATCAAGGGACAAATTTCCCGTAAGTGAAAACTATTCCAAAGGCATTTTTGAATTGATCCACTGTGATTTATGGGGTCCATATAAAACTCCTTCTTCTTGTGGTGCTTATTATTTCATGACGATAGTAGATGATTATTCTCGATGTGTTTGGATTTACTTGTTTGGTGATAAGAAAGAAATACCCCGAATGCTTGTGAATTTCTTTTCATTGGTTAAAAGGCAATTTGATAAGCAAGTTAAAATTGTTAGAAGTGACAATGGGACCGAGTTTATTTGCATGAAAAATTATTTCTTGGAGCAAGGTATTTTATTTCAAACCTCTTGTGTTGGAACGCCACGACAGAAATGGAAGAGTCGAAAGAAAACATAGACATATTTTGAATGTTGCTCGAGCCTTTAGGTTCCAAGCAAACCTTTCTATTGATTTTGGGGAGAATGTGTATTAGCGAGCAGGGTACTTGATAAATAGGACACCTTCTAATATCCTCGGTGGAAAAACACCTTATGAGATGTTGCATGGCCAACCTCCTTCCCTTAAACACTTGAGAATACTCGGATGCTTATGCTTTGCTCATAACCAAAAGAGAAAAGGAGATAAATTTGCAAGCGGGAGTAGGAAATGTATATTTGTTGGGTATCCTCATGGGAAAAAGGGATGGAAATTATTTGATTTAGAGACAAAAGAGTACATTGTGTCAAGGGATGTGGTGTTCGTTGAAACCAACTATCCCTTTAACAAGCCGGACACCAATAAACATGAAGCGGGATCATCATGCAATACCCAAGGAGTTGTCATGGTCCCGGATCGCATAGATGAAGATAGCCACGAGGTGACTAGTGTTGGTGTCGAAGAGGGAGGCGCTAGTCACGAGTTGACCAATATAGATGACGAGGGGTGCTTGAAATGATAACTAAAGCAATAGGAGAGCATGTTTCATCACTAGAGATCACATCGGGTGACACGCAAACAAAATCTAGTGTAAATCTTGAGCAGGAACAAATGGGACGTGGATGCGAGCTAAACGAGGCTTCCTCTCGCCTCCGAGACTACGTCACCAACACAATTAAAATACCGAGCCCATCCGAGCCGTTGCCCCCATCTTCTCCATCCTCGGGTATGCCCTATCCTATTGCTCACTATGTGAATAGTCATAACTTTTCTCTAGGACATCGTGTTTTTCTTGCCTCACTTGAACGAGAACAAGAGCCCATGACCAACGGTGAAGCGGTGAAAGATCATAGGTGGCGCGAGGCTATGCGAGCTGAAGTGAGTGCTCTTGAAAATAATCAAACTCGGACTCGTTATGCCTCTCCCACCTAAGAAGAAGGCCCTTGGATGCAAATGGGTCTACAAAATTAAACAAAAATCCGATGGCACGAGTAGAAAGGTTTAAGGCTCGTTTGGTTATACTTGGTAATCATCAAGTGGAAGGAATTGACTACACCGAGACTTTTGCTCCAGTAGCAAAGATGGTAACGATGCGAGTGGTGCTAGCGGTAGCTGCTGCAAAAAATTGGGAGCCGCATCAAATGGATGTCCACAATGCCTTCTTGCATGGGGACTTACAGGAAGAAGTCTTTATGAAGCCCCCACCTCGGTTTTAATGTTTCTCAACCCGGATGGTGTGCAAACTTAGCAAGTCATTATACGGACTCAAGCAAGCTCCTAGGTGTTGGTTTGCAAAATTGTCTCATGCTCTCGGGATGTATGGATTCACACAATCTTTATCCGATTATTCCTTGTTCGTACTACGGGAACCGGGGGTTCATATTGTCGTTCTAGTGTACGTGGATGATCTTCATGTAGCTGGAAATAATCCCGCCACTATTGAACGGTTCAAGGCTTATATGCACGCATGTTTTCATATGAAGGACTTAGGCACACTTAAATATTTTCTTGGTGTTGAAGTTGCTCGATCTCCCACTCGGGATTTTTCTATGTCGAGAAAATATGCCTTAGATATTATTCAAGAAGCTGGCTTGCTTGGGGCTAAACTCGCGCATACACCCTTGGAACAAAACCATCGCTTGGCTCTCGCCGATGGACAACTTCTTCCAAATCCCGAACGGTATAGACGTTTAATTGGACGATTGATCTATTTATGCTTCACTAGACTCGAGTTGTCTTATGGTGTACATACATTGTCTCGGTTCATGCAACAACCCAAGCGAGAACATTGGGATGCTTGCTTTAAGACTAGTGAGGTATTTGAAGGGAAACCGGGACGGGGTATCATGTTACGGACGGACGAGCGACTTGACTCTTTATGGGTGGTGTGATTCGGATTGGGCAAGTTGCCCGTTGACTCGTCGATCTCTCACTCTGGTTGGTTTGTGCTTATTGGGCGATTCGCTCTATTTCTTGGAGAACCAAGAAACAACATACTCGTTTCTCGCTCTTCTGCTGAAGCCGAATACCGATCTATGGCCTCTACTACTTGTGAACTAAAATGGTTGAAAAGCATTTTGCGGCTGTCTTGGTATTCCTCATCCACAACCTATGCGCTCGTATTGTGACAACCGGGCGGCTCTCCACATTGCCAAGAATCCTATTTTCCACGAGCGCACCAAACACATCGAAGTGGATTGTCACTTTGTCGAAATGAAATTCTTGCTTGGATATATTCGCCCTTCATATGTTTCTACTCATATTCAATTGGCGGATCTACTCACCAAAACTCTTGGCCGATCTCGGTTCAATTCTCTCTTATGCAAGTTGGGTATTCACAACCTTCATACACCAACTCGAGGGGGATAATAGGATATTTGAAAGAAGTCAATTACCAAGCCGGACAGGACTATATGTGATATGCATTGGAGGATCGAACGTGATATGCATGGAATTAACTATAGATTGTGTTTGAGATCTTTAGGAGTTCTTGTTTGTAAAATAGGAGTCCTTTATGTATAGGAGTCCCTGTCTGGTATAGGAGTCTCTGCTATATATATGTACATACTTAGCGTTTATCATGGGGGTGCGGAACGGGGGAGAACGAGTATTGTTGTGCAAACCTTGTTCTTTCGAACTCGTTGTTGCATCCATCCATCGGCCCAACGAGTGAAATCTTTCGACTTTTCAATAGTCTTTGCTTTCTCTCGGCTAGTAAAGTGGCATTCTTTGGCCCCGCTTCGTAGCAAATGATGTACGTACTCGAACTTTCTTCTAGGCATAATTCATCAAACATGAAGATGATCGCAAAATAATTAACTTGACTAACCCCCTTTTCTTTTGATTCCACATAATTTTTTACCTTGAATGGTTTCCCATCCCCGGCTCTCAGAACCACTTCGATCATTTTCCGAGATTTTGGAAAGTAAAATCCAAAAATCCCAGCTTTTATAAGCATCTTCTAACTTTTTTGTTGGCTACTATAGATTGTTTTCACATTTCAATGAAGGCTTGATTCAACATAGGCCTTTTTTCAAATTTTTGTTGGTTAACGATCATCTTGGATTGATCCATAAAAATTCGATTTTGTCCCTACGTAATTAACGGGATCTTGAACTAGATTTAGAGGAGGCAATTACTTGCGAAGTAGCCATCGATACTCTTACAACGGCATACAAATCCTCGGAGAATTGTCAAGAGGTCAAATTCTTCATATCACTTTTATTTGCTTGCACGATGTCGCTTGAGAGCATTATGATGAATGTTGCAAGTATGGTGCCAAATTTCCTTATCAAGGATTATTCAAGAATGAATTCCAAGGACTTAAATCTCCCGACATTCAAGTTGGAGGACCACGAGACCATTTCTTGTGAGCAAATTTTGAGAGAAAAATTGCAAATGGAGATGGATTCTTCCAAGTGGGCTGATCTTGCAATTCTATTACGAATGGTTGTTTTATGCTCGAACTTTGTTTTTGGTTAATATCAAGGCCACGAGGAAGATTAAGCCTCTAATTAGAGCTATCTTATCAGGCACCTCCTAAGCAAACAACATAGATCTCGGAGGATTCTATGTCGACATTTTCGCTCGTAGAGAATACTATAAAATTATTCATAAAGTCTCATATAACGATTTAAATTTTAATATTAAAATAATTTTTTAATATAATATTAAAATTTTGATGATTAAATGATTACGAGTTTAAATCTCTTTAGAATAATATAAAATCATTTCTATAATCTGACATGATAGTTCTTTTCATGTTACTATATGTAATTGTTGTCATTGGTCACTAATGTTCATTTCTTATTGTGGTTTTTGTGAGTTCCATTTCCAATCTTCGAAGAAAATATTTGCTAGAAAGAATTTCTGTGTATGACATGTCGTACACTTCCTTTTTTGCATGAAAGAAGTAATTGAAGAGAGAAATGTAGAGTAAATTATAAATTAATTCCTCTAGTTTTCTAAAAAGAATTATATAGTTCCTTGAGTTTTAATAATTATTAGTTTGTCTCTATGTTTTTAAATCTTTCTTAATTATTTTTATATTTTTAATTTAATTTTTTTTAATAAATAGAAAAAAATAAGTAAAAAAAATTAAAAAGACAGATAAGAAAAGAAGAATTTTTTTAAAACAAAATAATAGTAAATTAATTACGTTCAACACTAATTGACAGAGTAATTAATTAATTTTTCGAAAGAGGACTATTTAAGTTTTTTTGAAAAAATAAAGGGACTAATTTATAATTTACTCGTGATTTGTAGTAATGATAAAATTTTGGAATTAAGAATTGGGCATCGCCCTCGTTCCTCACACATAGACAGAGAAAAGAGAGAGGGAGGGAGGGAGAGAGAGAGAAGGACCCAGAATGGACGGTGGCGATGTGGACATGGCCGCTGCAGAGACTAACGAAGCAGTACCAGTATCTTTCTTTCCTTCTTTTTCTTCTTATTTAATTTTTGGATCGGTTGTTATTTTTTTTTTTTTTTCATTTTAATATAAAACACAAAAACCTTTAATGGGTTTTGTTTTAAAAACGAAATGAGAAAGCTAATTTTGGGTTATGATTAAAATTGTAGGAACTTGATGATATGAAGAATAGATTAAAGGAAATGGAAGATGAAGCTGCTGCTCTTCGGGAGATGCAGGCTAAGGTTGAGAAGGAGATGGGCTCTGTACAAGGTTGTAACTTTATATATTTGCATGCATTTATTTGAGTGTATATGCAATTATGGTCTCATGGATTTTTGTTATTTCTTATGGGTTTATGATTTTTATTTTTATTTTCTGTTGGGAGTTTTGCTTTTAATTAGTTTTGTGGTAGGGATGATGGGTTTGTTGGAGATTGGAAGATAATGGAATATTGTGGTGTGGATTCATTTGTTAGTGTGAGCTTTGAAGTGATTTTCCTGTGTCTGTGGTTTTATGGTGAGGTAGTTTATGTTCGTTATACAGTATAGATTGGTGAATTTTTTGTAAGATCTGTTGGTTACTTCTTGTTGGAATGAGAAGGGTTAGAAATCTATTGCCATTCTGGATAAGAAGGTTGGTTGCTTCTATTTAAATTTCAGAAAATTACATATATGCTAGTTAAGATGTTACCTGAAGTTAGTTGAAAGATAGAAATGCAAAAGATTTATGATTTTGGAAAACTTCCCTTCTCGAGATGAGAGTGTTTTATAGACTCTTAGGTGCAAGAAAGATTTTAAGGGTCTTACATTAGTGATTCTTTAGCTGCTCCACTGAAAATTTAACTAGGGCATTCCATGCTGGTGATTTGGAAAATAAGCACTTGCATTTGACTGAATGGTTGTTTTATTTGTTTACCATTGTCTATTTGCTCAATTGATGATACTTTAATACTCTGCCCTTAAGTTGACAAGAGAGACGAATTGCATGCCAAATTGTCGCTTAAGATAACTTATTACAAGTCCTTTTATTGGTTAAGGAAGGTAAGTAGGAATAATAACTGCAATAATTGATATTTGTTTCTGCTTGTCTTTCTCCTTCTTTTTCTTACTGTTTCTATGTGCAATTAGATCCTGGTGCGTCTGCTGCTGCATCTCAAGCCAATAGAGAGGAAGTAGATTCTCGATCAGTGTTTGTTGGTAATGTGAGGCCGCTTTTCCTTATGTATGGTTTGCCTTCAAATAATTATTTTTTTTGTGTTAAATACTTGTAGTGTGAATTTATTTGGCTGGAGGCTTGTGTTACATATTTTGCCTAAATGATCTCTTGACCTGGGGACAGAATCAGTCTTCTACCTGCCTAACATTTGTTGCTTGGTTTGCTGGAAAAATAAAGTAAATGAAATTGTTAAAGCCATACCTGCATAACAGAGACATTGATGGGATAAGTGCCTTTTAGGATTGAAATTATAGTGTTGGCGTATGATAATGGGATAAGGGATTTGTAAGATGTTGTTCTTTCAAACTAAAAAAGTTGGCTTGGACAAGCAACACAGCATTCCCTGCCTTGCTCACTTCTTTTTTATGGCAATATAAGATTTTTATTCATTAAAATGGTTGCAGGTGGACTATTCGTGCACCCCTGAAGAAGTGCAGCAGCATTTTCAGGCATGTGGAACAGTAAATAGGGTCACTATCCGTTCTGACAAGTATGGCCAACCAAAGGGTTATGCATATGTCGAATTCCTTGAGCCAGAGGCTGTCCAGGAGGCTCTCCTTCTGAATGAGTCTGAATTACATGGCCGCCAATTGAAGGTAAAGAAACTCTGTTTTTCTCACTATCCAATTGCGAACTTCAATTCCTTTACCTTTATAATATGAGGTTCTATTCTTTCTTTTCTTTTTTAACTATTTCGCAGCCTCAAATTGGTTTGTTCCTTTCTGTTGTTTTGGCTGGGCTTTTGCAGATAACTGCTAAGCGGACCAATCTACCTGGGATGAAGCAGTTTCGAGCTCGCCGACCCAGTCCGTACATGGGGTTTCCACCCAGGGGTGCAACTATGCCTCCTTATCTCTTTTCTCCTTATGGATATGGGTACACTATCTAAAAAGTGCATTCAAATTTCTCAATGAATACGCTTTTACTACTGTCGTTTGCCTTTTCTCTTTTGATTTTGAGGAGCAACGATCATCATTTAGCTTATGTTCTTTGCACTGCAGGAAGGTTCTGAGATACAGAATGCCAATGCGTTACAGCCCCTATGGCTGAAAAACTATTGTGCTTGAGACAGCATTGCCAGCAGATAGATACATCCAACAAAACGCTTTTTTTAATGTTTGGGAAGATCAACAGAGGATTTTTCCCTGCTTGGTTTGACGTGTTGAAATGTGAGAATTGGAGCTTTATTTTATTCATGGTAGACTACAAAATTAAAATGCCTGCTTCTTCTGTACTGCCTATAAATATTCATGCTTGAAGCATCTTGAAAGTTTCCTCTGGTTGCAATTTTGTGGTTTTTGTTAGGTCCGTTGCTGCTTCTCTGTCTTTGCTTAAATTAAGGCTACTTTCTGTGAAATTTTGTGTTTGAAATCTCAACTGATGGTGCTGTGGTCGTGTTGACTGCTTTTCGTTTCGTACCATGAGTTTCTTTTTCTAGAGGAAGTACCATCAGTCTACTTTTAAACCTCTGAACTTTGTTAGTAGGCATGAGTGTGATTTTATGGGGTAGCTTATATACTCTAGGAGGAGGATTGGAAGGGGTGACCTTCTTAACCTTCTTGCAAATGTAAAGCTCCACCACCATGCTAGATGTCTATTGGTTCCTAAATTCTAGATTCAGTTTGAGGTCTTTGTTTTTGAAATAGCATTGCTTAACAAGGACACGGACCATTGGTAACGCTAACCAATTCTTGCTCAATTACCAACAATCTAGAATCTTATCCAAATGCGAACCCAAATGTGTTTTATGTTTTCTAGGATGATTATCAAACTTCAAATATCATACGTAAATTTGCTTATGTTTGCATTCAATTAACATAATAATTTACAACCGTTCTCTTGCTAGCTTTGTTAATTGATGATAGATATCAATAATATGCCATCCTTCCCCCTAAAGTGGCTCAACAATACATGCTTGACCCACTTTGTTTTGACGTCATGGGTTCATCAGGGACTATTTTTGAAACATCCTGGTTGCAATCCCCACTACAAATTGAGCCTTTAAAACTGAAAATCCAAGAAACCCCTCAACTTGAGTTCTTTTCTAATGTTTGGAGAACTTTTCAACGACTAAGCTATCATATGGAGAAAGGTGTTTGGTTTGATTAGGTTTGATAATATTTTGCTCTTAATTAGAAAAAGGAAATATGCTATTACATTAGTTTTAAACCTTAGAAGACGAACCTATAACACTTAAGATGTCAACTCTTTTTATACTGCAGAAGATCCTTCGTAAAAAGTTTGATTGTACGTTAGTATGTTTGATTCTGCACAAATATAGAAGTTGGTTTTGAGGCTTTTCGTCCAGGTACAATGGAACTATTAAAGTTATGATAACAGGATGTCCAACTTCTCCTGTTGGTACTGGAGCTATGTACGGTATGGTACATATCGTTGTATTAACAGTGCAAAGACTTGTTGTATCTACCTAGTTTACCTAAAAACTAAAACATCTGCAATAAATACTTTCCATTTAAACAGTAATGTATTACTGTTCAAATGAAGTAATCATTTCAATCCCTGAAACAGTGCATTACTGTTCATTATATATTACTGTTCATTATCTAAAAATTTCAAATTGTTTCATTTTGATGTTTAAAAATTTAAAATAAAAAATTTAATCCTTTAACTGATGCAACCTTTTCGTTTTTTTTCGCTTTGGTTTTTTTTCTTTGTTTTTTCTCATTAATTTATGTTTTTTTATTTAATTAGGTGTTAAAATTTTAAAAAATCAATTGTAACTTTTTTCATACAAACTGACGATTATTTAATATATCTTTTTATATTTTAAAATTAACATACACTTCAACTTATATTAGTTTTATTAGTTAAATTTTATTTTTTGAATTTATCATTTTTTTTTATAAAAAATCTTATCCGATTAATATTTTTTATATAAAATTTTATTTACCGATATTGTATAATTTATTTTTCTCTATGTTTGAATTTTAGAATAAATTTTTAAAATATGATTTTTTTTTCTTTTTTAAAAAATAAATTGATATAATATATATAATGAATTCTTAGAATTATATATATATATATTCTAAAAGGTTAAAAGTGTGTTTCAAATAATTTATCTTTGTTCAATAGGTATGGTCAAGATATATAAAAAAAATTATTGAATCATTTATCTTTCAACGTAATGCAAATTATTTACTATAAATATTTTTTTAACATTATAGAACCATTCCAAATGAACCAACCAATTATTCAAATACTATTTTTTATGCTAATTTAATTGATTATTTTATACATAAATATATATAGATCAAATGCATATACTTGGAAAAAAAAAATCCTTTCACCAACATTAAATAAGAATAAAATTTTATTTTTTCATTGGTTAATTTTTATGCAAGTCTATACATTAATTGTAACTTTATTGTTTGGACGCATTCTTATAAAAAATGTAATTTCAAAGTATTTATTTTTGAATTCTTAATTAATATTTCAAGTTTAAATTCTTACAAGTTTTTATTTAAGAATCCTCGAAACAACGAAGAATAAATCATGTTTTTTTTAAGCATAAATTTTATGAAAAACACACAAAAAATAGTAATAATTAAATAAAATTAATGAAAAAATTATAACATTTTGAAATGATTTTTTTTTATTTACCCGTAGCATTGGCGGATAATTTAAAAAATTATTCTCATCGGCATTAAATAAGAACTTTTTTTCATTTTTGTAAAAGTCTATCCATTAATTTTAACTTTTTTTTTTACTATAATATTGTGAAAATTATATTTTTAATTTTTTTTTCAATTCTTAATTAATATTTTAGTTAAAATTATTACAATTTTTAATTTTAAAATCAATCCATAAAGAAGAATAATTTATGTTTTATTAAACAAAAAATTTATAAAAACATTAGAAAAAAATTAATTAAATAAAATAGTATAATTAAAAAATTTTAAAATAACTTTGTTCTACCGGACTCGTGGAGTATTGCGGGAACTCGGCTAGCTTTTTTTATAATATTTACAATTTGATATTTACCGATAGGTAGATATTATGAAATCGGCTTTTACATCAATCAAAATTAAATCATCACTTCTTAAGTTAAATGAGCATCGAACACGTTTAACTTTTAATCAATCACTAAACTTCTTAAACTAAATCGAATTCAAGTATGGTACTACTAAAAGATAATTATGGTAAGTTATCAAGAGAGAGTAGAAATTGAACTGCAACTAAACTACATCCCATCGTGGTCTATTACAAAGATTTGTTATTTAGTCGACTACCGAATTGGCTTTTAAGTTAAATCAAAGCCTAAGTATGGCATGTAACGCCCCCACCTCGGTCCACCGTCTATTACCCAAATAGGAGTGACTAGGCGAGGCGCGTCACGCCGACACGACCTAAACCCTAATCATCTTTCGTACGGCGTACTTAAGAAATTAACAAGCACATCACATAACGAAACTGCATATAATAAAAGCTTACGTGACATAACTAATTACAATAGCAAAATATTATAAATAAAGATTGATTTCTCACGGATCCCATACCCCAAAATTACAAACAAAATAAGTTTCAGCATCCCCGTGTTACATATGAGTCTCTTAGGAGGAGCCGGCCGCATCCTTACTATTTTTTCCTTTTCCTGTCACCACATAGAAATAATGACGGGGTGAGTCGAAGCTCGGTAAGTGAGGTGATGCACGTGATATGCAATGTTGCTTTTAACTCTCCAACCCTACTCATCAATTTTTTTTATTCCGAGTACCCTAGGTATTAACGATCTACTCTATTGGAGATTATCGAATCACCCATTGCTAATAACGAATTATTTCTCGTTGTACCCACTATTAGCGAAAATCCATCACTTAACAGTGCGAGTCACACATATTAAAGTACGCACACGAGTTGGACCACTAATTCTTGTTTATTTCAATTAGGTCACCAAAGCTATCCATACAAACCAATTCTCAATCATTTAATTCCTTCTCAATTCATTCCCACCAATACACGTGATGCCATATTACCGTGTTTAACATATTGCGGATACCAAACCTACACCATCAATTTGTTCTCATCATCTAACTCTGTACGGGGTTTTATACATTTTCATACCACTCCCACAATGTTTTCCCTCGAGGAGGACCCATCACCGCCGACTAGTATTAGTCGGGCAATCAATTTTCTTTTACACGTGGGCACGCTTCCTTAGTTAGTTTCGGTGAGTCTCGTCGTTTCATTTGATTTACGTACCCATTGATTCTAAGGGTTGATTTGTGACATACCAAGGTAAATTTCTATTCTAATCCGAATTTGGCCGCTCATGGGTCTAGGTTCGATTCCAGCTTTTTTTTTTTTTTCGAATTCTCCATGTTCTAACCTTTCGTTTTATACTTATAAGGGACTATTAAACCATTACTCATAAAGTTGGATAGTTAGGACTAATTAATTCGTACGTACCAAATTAGGATTTCTTTCCTAACCCTAGCTTGAGTATTTATAGTTGAATTTTGTCTTTAATTGGCCTAGGTCATGAATTCGGTTTTACTCTTGAATTCTTACTTCTTAGTATTTCATTCTACACTTGTTTAAATGTAATTTAACTATTAATCACAAGATTGGAAGGTTATAGTCCAAATTTCTCAATTTTTTTGTTTTTGTTTTTAGGGTTAGGCCGAATGGTCCTAAAAGTAGCCTAAGGTTTCTCTTTCATTTTTATTAAATCTCTTCCACTCTAACTTACTATTTCATACTTAATTGGGTTACTAGCGGGTTGTAAGCTTTAAAGTTCATGAGAAAATCCAATTGTGCTCACTTTGGGATTCCTAGGCCGAATGGGTCTTTAAGAAAAACCCTAAGCATTCCTTTATTTCCCTTCCAATTTATTCATCCCAATATTCGATCCAAGCCCTTAAATTTTAGCCCACAATCATCAACACATGATGAAATATACACTAGGCATGATAGACTTCAATGATCACACAAATACAATATAACAATTAAATCCAAACCAAGTCATCCACACACCAACCTAATACAAGCCAAACCTTAACAATACGAACAATAACTTAACTAAATACATGAATTAAACCCATAAAAGAAACTTAAACATAAAGTAAAACCCACTTACTTAGCTTAGATGTGGTTAGATTTCTTTAGCTTTTCTTTCTTTCTTTTCCTTTCCCTTTCTTTTTCTTTCTCTCTTTCTTGTCGTTTTTCTCTCCTAAATTTTATGGCTACGGCTTGCTAAAAATTTCTTACCATCTTCCCACTTTATACACACACACACACACACACACACACACACTAACTTTTCTTTGTTATTAAATTAAATTACAAGTGGCTTGTTTTAATTTAACAAGGTGGAAAGTGAATTGGGTGTTGTAAAGGCAAGTAGCGAGGTTTGAGGAAAAAAAGGTGAGTTGGCTTAATGCATTAATTAAGGGTGCTAGGTGTCCTAACTAAATAGTTAAGCTAACTAAACACCCTAACTAACCTAGTTCAAGTTAGTAAACATCTCTCCCCCTCATAATTTTTGGAATTTTCTCACCTTAAATTTGGAATTCCTTTCTCTAAAAAAATTCCAACGAGTGGTACATCTAGAACGATCTATACTAAAACGAGCATAACTTTTAATATATAGATCTAATAATAACAAAATTTTATAAAGAGTTAGTCGAAATATAGATAAACAACTTTTATACTTTAAGTTTTACCCGAAATCACACTAAGGTCCATGAATAAGTCTCACAAAATTCGGATAGAATCTAATTCTCAAAAACCTCTAAAATTTGAAATTTTCTCCTTAAACCATTCTGTCATTTTCTTGTAAAATTCAGTGTTCCCAAAATTTTAAAACACATTCCCCACTTGTTTAATATGTTCCAAATAATTAAGAATAAATAAATGATAATTAAAATTATTCGAACCTTTCACCTAAAAATCCCCACACAAGCACCCAAACACATTATCCTCAAAATATTAAAATGGCATACACAATTACTCCTTCACTTTGTATATATATTTGGATATTTCGACCTATATATATATTGATTCATAATTAAAAATTTTACGAGAGTTACATGGTACCACTAAGAGATAATTATGATTAATTATCTATAAATAGTAGAAATTAAATTTTAATCTTGGCCGATTCAAGACAGCCTCATTATGGCTAAATCACCACATCCTTTATCGATCTATTGCAAAGATTTGTTATTTAGTCGACCATTTAGCTTCTTTTTAAGTCAAATTAAATCCCAACAAAATCTAAATCTGATATCAATAAGGGATAATTATGATTAGTTATTTATAAATAATAAAAATTAAATTTTGATTTTGATTAAATTAAGACAATCTCGTTATAGCTAAGCCCCTCTTGGTGGTCTATTGCAAAGACTTGTTATTAAACGAACAAAATCAATTTTTCATTGAGAAACCATACCTAATAAAAACAAGCAATTTGATGTGTTAAAAAATACCAAATATAGTTTCAAATACTGTACGGTTGAAAAACAATCGTAATTGTCATCACGATTGTGATATTACATGTGATTTATTATAATATTAAAATAATGATAATAAGATATTCTAAAATCATTACGTAACAATCATTATATTACGTAATCATTATATAACGTAATGGCCGTATACCAAATATCAGTCACAAGCATTTAAAAGCTAGGTTTTTTTTTTAATCTGTATACACTTTAGAAAGTATTTTTAAAGGCATAATTAGTTAAGTTGGTGATTTACATCTTTCGAGGTCATCCGCTCATGCCACGGCTGTGAAATTTGGAAGTTCCTGTAGTCTCCAATGACCCAAAATCAGAGTCACAGCATACAACTTCTTCCTTAAAACAATGACAAAAGGTTAAAACCCTAATGACCCCACCATTCACCATGCTTGATCTTATCTTGAGCTAATGGTCCCTACAAAATCATTGATGACCAAACCCATCTAGTGCTAGCGAGATGAACCTCCTCATCGTTCCCCTAAAGTTGCTGTCTTTATGGTCTCCTACTCTCCAGCATCATTCAGACCCCTTTGGCCTTTCCCTCCCCATTATCCCATCTTCCCTGAAAAGCCTCTAAACCTAACAAAATTGTTCACATGATCCATTGAATGCAACAAAACAATCAAAGCCAATCCCAATTTATACTAACCTTTTTTTTTATTTATATTATTTTTCTCATCTGCATTTTTCACCTTCTTTCACAAGGAGAGAATTTACATGTCATCCAAAAGGACAAACACATCATCGTTACCGACTGTACAAAAATAAAACTAAAACGAAAACCGAAAAAAAAAAAAAAACCCTATTTCTTACATATTTTTGAACGAGTACATAGGTTTTTTGCCTTGGCCTTTGCCTTTGCCTTTGCCACGTGTGATTACCTTGGTGGGACCCATCACACAAGCGTCTTGCATGCGCTTGTCTGTGGATCCCACATGGCAGGCAACAAGTACTTCCTTCCATTGGCACCATAAGCATTGAAGCTAGCACCCGTGACCTTATCAACCAGGACCCGACCCGGATATCCTGGGTATGACCCGGACCCGAACATCCCAGTACAAGCCGAGACAGCCTCTAGAGGAGCAGTGGGCGGGCCCTGGAAATACCCACTGTTGAACGGGTTGGTGACGGTGTTAGCCAACAGAGTGGCCAAGTTGATGACCATTCCGTCAACCCCAACGTCTCCGTTAGGTGCCACCAAGGGTGGGGTCTGTGGGCCGTAGATTGGCTGGTGGAATGGCCAAGCACACTGACCGGGACACTGAAGGTCCGAATTACCAACCCAAATGTACGTACCCCGGCCCGACCTTGACTTTGTTGACCCGTGAGTCCCACACCTGTTCATGCAGAACCCATCAACGGCAACATCTTTTGCCGTCAAAACAACGTTAATGGAGTCAACGGCGAAATGGGTTTTCGAAGCCAGAGCTATCAAATGTCGGGTCTTCAAGATTTTGCCTAGCGTGTACTCTTCGTGAAGGATTTGATGCCCTATGCTGAGCGAGGATGAGCCACCACGGTACTTCTCAGTCGTTTTCCACCATGAAGAGGTGGAGGGAAGCGGAGCCCTTCTGGAGTTCAAAGAGGTGATGAAGTCAACGATTATTGCCCGTTGGATTGGCGTAAACTTGCCGTACCAGATCAGATTAACGGTGACGTTACCCTTCAAGAGGATGCCGTTATGGTATTTCAGAACCAGAGGCTGTTCTTGAACTAGAGCTGAGAGCGAAGGGGTGATGAAACAGAAGAGAAAAGCAAGAGCAGCAAGGTTGCAATTAGGAGCCATTGGTGAGGGTAAAGAACGGAAAGCAAAGTCTTCTCCAAGAGGGAAGCTGGGATGGATTGATGAAGAAGAAGGTGGTGATGAGGTATTTATATGAGGGGGAAGCGTAAGGGAAACAGCTGGTGAGGGAACCGTGTCAACGTCAAGGGATGGACACGTGGAGGGGTGTGACTGGGAGTTGAGCATGAAGAAGAGTCTTTGCCAGGCTGTAAGGTTCTTTGCTGGTGACATGGTGGAAGGGTTGGGTTTGGGATTTTAATAGAAGGTAGGATGATGACTTTTGGGTTTTTGGAGTTTTCATTGCATGGATTGAAGTAGAGAAAGAGGGATGGTGATGGGATTTATCAAGTACTTGTGAAGTGTGTGGATGCTCATGAGTGTTGTTGATTTGACATAAATTCATTTTTTTTTTTGTACAAATCCCCAGATATTTGTGTTATTATAAGTCACATTAAATAATTTAAATGAGATAATGCAAAAAATAAAAATAAAAAATAAAGTAATTGTACCAACAATACCTTTAGAATAGATAGTAGAATACTTAGTTTTATATTTTAAAAAAAAATACTAAAAATACCTTTAGAATAAATTGTCGTATACTTGAGATAATTAATTAAATTCATTCATATTCGAGAAGAATAGAGAGTAGTATGCTTAGTTTTATATTAAAAAAATACAAAAAATACCTTTAGAATAAATAGTAGTATACTTAGGATAACTAGTTAAATTCATTTATATTTGAGTCTGGAAATTATACTGTCGTGCAAACTATTATCTAATTTTATTTTTATCTCTTTTATTATCAAATTTTTAATTAAAATAGACACGTAAAACTCTAAAAGACAATAAAAAATAAAAGAGAAAGAAAATGAAAAGATTGAATTAAAAATTGTCAAAACTGAGTGATTTTATGATATAAATATAATTTTTTTGGTTTAAAATATGAAATAATCTATTTATATTTTTTATTAAATAAAATAATTGAGTGAGATCATATTATCTAGCATAACTATGACGTTTTTTTAATATATATATATATATATATATATATATATATATAAGATACAAAGGGAAAGAGTAAAGAAGGAAGTTTTCTAATAGATTACAATAGATGATAAAATTTAGCGTTATAAACATTATTAAAGCATGTGAGGTAAGCTATGAGTCAATTATTGGTCTTATTGAAAAACAGATTGATGTAAACATATCCAAGAACAATAGTTTTGATTGGCAAACGAAGCAACCAATACAAGAGAATTGTAAAGAATGGTAAGTTATGTAACAATATTTGCGTAGCTATGTCATCCAAAGTCAATTATTAGTCTAATTTGGAAAATAGATAGATGTCAACATTCATAGCTTAATGACAAACTAAATAATTTTTTTTTTTTTTACCAAACAATCTAATCTATCCATACATTCACGTAGGAAAATTTGCTAGATTATATAACTAATAAGTTCTCTAACATGTGTCATAATAGTCGAATTTAGAAATTTAGAAAATAAAATTTTCAAATGTAAAATTATGAAAAGGGTGTGTCAAATTTTCAGAGACTAATTAAAAAAGATTTCACTTTTTATTATCTAAGTTCCAATGAGCCTTTTCCATTTTTTTCATATATATTTTTATATTATGTTTTTTTTTCCTTAAAGACAATGTAATTATAATGTTTTAAAATAACCATAACAAACCTTCGTTTTTTATTGTTATAAATACCAAATTAAATTCACTTTGTATTCTAGTTAAACAAAAACCATCTATATTGATAATAATACATTCATAAAAAAAAAAAATTTCTCTCAATTTTTATTTATTTTTAACTAGAAATGATGTTCTCAAACCAATTTTTGCACATTTCAAGATTAATATTGTCCTAGGCGTGTTTTATGAGCACTTTCTAACGCACAAATTTGAATATTTTGATAATAAATTTTTAGAAATGCTAACCACAAAAAGCAAACTTTGGACCTATCTTATGAGTCAACGTTTATTTATCAACGGATTACCATCTTATAATTTTATTAATTTTTAATTTAAATATTAACAAAAACAAAAGAAACACCCTTCTTTAATCAATAGATACAACCCTCAGATTTTTTGTTGAATTCTTATGAACCATTGAAATGCTAACATCCGAATAAACATTTTCTAATGACAAGATAAGCATATGAACAATTGTTAATTCCATGAGAATCCACGCAACATCTCTCACGAATATTATCCAGAGAAAACAAAACACTAGGGAATCGAACTTAATATCTTTCGAATTACAAAACTCACAACTTGTCTAATCCGAGAAAATCTTTGAAATTTTTTCTTGTGTTTTGAACCTCAATTTCTTTCCCATTTCAGCAAAACCAAAATACAGAAAAAAAAAAAAAAAAAAAAAAAAAAAACCACCAAAAGGGTGGAATGATCATCTCCATTTATTTTAAATATCTTCCCCCATCAACTCAAACCTAGAAAAAATGCTAAAAAAATATGTTGGCAGAGGACTAGAGGCTGAGGTCTGGGCAGGATGACCAGAGCTACCTACTCGTACATAATTGGAGAAAGGTCCCTCAATTGCTGAGTTTGATGACATCAAGAATTTGGACACTACTGTAAGCTTCATTGCCTACTTCGATGGTAGTGTTTCAGTGCTTTTTTAAGCATTGATCTGTTTAATACTCTGCTTCGTCCACGCGTGATTCCAGCAGGAGAAGCAGTGGCAATAAAATAACATAGCATTAAATTTTATATTCGGGTCCTTGAGCTCAGTTTCCGATGCTTGTCCTGTGAGCGATGGCCCTTGGTTATGGACCCTCACCATGGGCAGCGACTAACATGAGTTAAAAATAAAAAAACCTAAACCGAATCGAATTGAATTAAATTATTTTTAATTTAATTTTATCAAAAAATTTAAATTTAAATTATTTTGACTCGGTTTAATTTTTTTATAATTTGATTTTTATTAAAAATTAAATTAATGTTTTTTTAACGTACTCATTCAATATTTATAGTATTTTTTTTTATAATTTTCTTTACTAAAACTTCAATTCAAACTATTAATATTTAATAAAAGTAAAAAAATTGAAAAAAGTAACCTTTCATCTTGATTCAAGAAAAAATTCAAAAATTAGAAAAAATGATGAAAAAAAATTCATTTTTTAAATCAAAAAATCAAATCCAAAAATTTAGATTTTTAACCTGAAAAATAAATCTCAATTTGGTTCGATTTTTGTTTTTTTTTAAATCAATTAGATTAACCAAAAATCAAAAACAAACTGAAAAACCAATAATTACCCCTAGCAGTGAGTATCCCGTGCCACTTCCAAAAGGTTTGGCCACGTTTGTTTTGTGTTCTTCATTTTTTTCCTTTCAAAAAGGAAAGGAGATGCTTTGTTTTTGTTTCATGAAAATGGAAATATTGTTGCAATAAAGTCAAGAATTATGACCACTTTTTTTCTATCATTTAGTTTGAACTAGTTAGGTTTGAAGGTGTAATCACATTATTAATAAAACAAATCAACCATGAACTCAATTATTTATATCTATCCGTTTATCAATTGAATTATGAGGTTTATCTAGGTTGTTGGTTGATTCGAATAAGTTTTTTGAATCACACACACATACGTACATATACATACATATATATATATATAAAATGTGAGGCTAAAGTTGCGGCCGTCCCAATAGGTTTTTTTGAAATTCTCCAAAGGACTGCCTTTTTGCTTTTAGGCAAATGCAATATTGCATTGCCCGAGCATGCCAAAATGGGGCCGGTGCCGACTCTTTGTGCAGCCACACATGACTCCTACTTTACACGTTTTGCAACTTGCTGACCTGCTTTTCAACACCATGACATTCTTCTGTCATGAAAAAAAAAAAAAAATGATCATGTTGTTAAAAAATAACAACAGAAAGTTTTTTTTTATGTATAAAAAAATTTAAAGAAAAAAATATTGAATTGCTTATATAATAAATAATTCAATCTGTTTTTTATATAATACTTCGAGTTTTTTTTTTTTATGTTTTTAACTTTATAATTGTATCTTTTTGTTCTTGAAATTTTTTAAATATTCAATCTATATTTTTGATTAATTTTTTCCATCATGGATAAATATTTTGACTAAAATGTTCTTTTATATATATATATAAAAAATTAAAATCACATGACATGTATATTTTATTTTTGAGGTCTTTATACATGTTTGCATTTCATTCTAGATCATTTGGATTAAAAAACTCATAATAAAAAAATTAATCAGAAAGATATATTGAATATTTTGAAAAAATTTCTAAGCGAGATGAGATGTAATTAAAAATTTAAGAAGAAATGAAAGATTCAATGTATTATATAAGAATATATTGAATTATTTAAACTTATTTATACAAACATTTATTTCCACATTAATTTTAGCTTTAAAATCAAAGTTATTTGTTTAAAATTAGGCGAGTGGAACTGTGGAAAATTCCGTGTAAAATTCATTTTATTTCTTGTCATAACTTGTGTACACGAAACATAATTCACCGAAACAAATAGATTAAGGTTCGATTGAATTTCCTTTGACGATTTGAGAGGGAGACAATATATACCCAAAATCTCAAATTTTTGTATTTAAGCTGTTCATGCCACTATTATTAACCCTATCCAACATGTTTTCGGTGGTCAATCACGACAACTTCAATATAATTATTAAACCCTAAATTAAAATATAACAAAAATCCAAACTCTCTCATTTCTTAATGTCCCAATCTCCAATCTGTGACGTAAAAAGATCATAAATAAACAGTAGTAAATTGGAAAAAGATACTATCACTTCAAAAGGTGGGAAAAGTTAGGGTGGTGAATTTACAAAGTTATGTTTCACGTGCACAAAACTACACAAAGGTGACAACTTCAGAGTCAAAAATGGCAAGCTGATTTGTGATTACGTAGGACCAGACAGACCCAGTTTGCCGTACCACGTTTCTTGGCATGATTCCAATGCATGGGTTAAAGCAGATAATCCTGGTTACTGGAGTCGCAGATTCGTGAAGACATGGTAATCTTGGAAGAGTTGATTATATATCTGGTCCTTGTATTTTTAACATTTTCTTAATGTTGTCCTTTCATCAAATTTCTGTCCAATTTACTGTTAATTCTTGACAATGTATCAGAAAAATGGACACATGCCCGTGTGTTAAATATATATAAAAAGAAGCAGAATTAGAGTGTTTGTTTTATATAAAATATTTTCTAAGAAAA